CATCCCCGAGCGTCAGGGCCTTGCCAGACGATCACGGTCAATGGCACTTTGATAGCTCGGGGAAGAGTGGCCCACCCCAGGGAAATTTTGCTTAAAAACTTTCAGCACTGATGGAAGGGATGGTGAATGCATTTGACTGTCGGAGGAGGGGCCTGAGCGTTCGCCGCAGCCGTAAAGGCTTGAGGCGGGGATTTATGGCTGTTGGAGGAGGGGCCTGAGGGTCCGCCGCAGCCGTGAAGGCCTGAGGCGGGGAGCGTTCCCTCCTCATCCCCGAGCGTCAGGGCCTTGCCGGATGATCACGGTCAATGGCACTGCGATAGCTCGGGGAAGAGTGGCCCACTCCGGGGGGAAAACTTACCTAAAGGCCAGAGAGGAGTGGTGAGTGTGATGAGCCAGCGCCGGAAAAAGAGGACGAGGGCAAGCTGCTGCTGGTGTCGGGGGAAGACGGGGCCCAGTTGGGGTGTCCCGTCTCCCGGGTTTCGGCACCAATGAAAGGAAAGGAGCGACACATAGCAGCAATTCACCGGAGAGTTCCGCTTTATTAGGGAAAGGTGCTGGGTTATATAGGAAGGGGCATGAATTGATTGAGGTGTCACTTCTACGGGGCTGGTGGCTGTTGGCTAGGTGCTGGGATTGGGAGGGGGGCGAGAGGTGATTGGGCTTCAGGTGGCGCCGGCGGGAACTGAGGACCCCGAAGAGAAGCCGGAAGTTTGCCATCTTACTGGTGGGGACCCTTCAAACATAACTTATAAAAACTGACATAAGAATAAGAGAAAATTTGAATAGCCATGTATCTTTTTTAAAATTGAGTTTGTAATAAAAAACTTTCCTACAAAGAATATTTCAAAATGTTGGCTGAAGTTTGTAAACTACTGTGTCAACCAAACAAAACCCCTGAGGGTTGGATGAGGCCCCAAGACCAGCAGTTTTTTCTCTTCTGTTGGATTTTTAGTAAATGGAAGGGAGGTACAGAGAGAGGAAAAGCAGAAAAAAGAGAGACTGAATGGTAATTCAGGAGATAAAAACAGAGTTAAGAGAAAGCAAATAGCCTTAGATGTCAGTAGGACAACAAAGGCTAGTGTAGAAGTCAACCTGAAACGTGCAGATTAGATAAGGAGGGACTGCATGCAGGGAACTGCACCTGTAAGAAATGTTGATCTGTATTTTCTAAACAAGCAAATGATAGCAGAAGAGAGGTGTTAAAATATCTGAGGAAAGCAGTGAGGATACTACACAAATCTAAAGGATTTGTAGTAGTGAGGATATTACACAATCTAAAGAATAGTTGAGCTAACTTTAATATATATATTTAGCTAACTTTAATAACAATACATTTAATGTTCAGATACACTCTATATTACTGAGATAATACATTCCACTGTAAACTAACACATTAGTTCCAAATTTGAGAAGCTGTTCTTAGAAGAAAAGGGTTTTCTGCTAAGGTCAAGTAATACCGTAGTATTTCAAAATAAAATTGAAGTAGGGAGCTAAGGAAAACTAAAGAAAAGAACTTCCTGTTGAAAAAAAATCAGCTCTATTTCTTGGTGGGTTTGAATCTAACCTAAGAAGTATAAAACCTAGTTTAGTATTTCTGGAATATAAATAAAAGATAGCTCAGTCAATTACCTTTACTCTCAGCAGTAATGCTCTATAGAGTTGCTGCAAATACTGAACCACTGCTCTGAGGGGAAAATACAGGGTTAGATTCTTGCAAGCCTCTGGTAACAACATTTTTGTCAATCAATATAACACACTGCTGACATAACCTCATGTTTCTGTTCAAGGACACCTTATTCAATATACACTATTGATTCAGGACAGCACTGTAACTCATACCTAAACAAAGCTTATGTAACATAGGCACTTTCCCTGTGAGACACATCATCGTCTTCTTTCAACAGCACTTTAGCACTATCCGTGGGGTCCATTTGAAACAGGAAAATCACCAACAAAAAACATCAGATGTGAAAAACATGGCACTAAATAGACCTCAATAAGACACATATTTACAGTATACTGAGAGCTGAAACAAGAAGGTAGAGCAATGCTTTATCCCATCTCAACTAAGAATGTGTGCTTCTGCCAAATTTTTCACTGTACTGTGGGATGTGTGTCTGTAAACTACTGAAAGCATTGAGTACTGATTCTGGAGTTACAAAAACATTTCAGTGAATAGGCAAACTTGCAAATTTGGCAACCATGAATAATGAGGACTGACTATACTCACAAAAATTTACACTACCATCCTACAAGCAGATTTTTTAAAGGTTTACTACAAATATCTGTAGAAATCTAGGAAGCTAGAATAGAAATAAAAAAGGACTAATTACTACTTCTTGGAATCAATCTGCCTAGATTTTTTAACATAGTTATAAGAAATGAAAAATGAAAACTACAGGCCCATTAGAAGTCACCTACAGGAGTCTCAAGCAGGCCTCTTCAATTTACTAGTATATGACCATCACCACTAGGAAAAATCAAAGCATGTTTTTTCTAAGCTATAAATTAAATTGATTAAATTCCACTCAGGGAACTTAATATTCTAAATTTTTAACAACAGAGTGGCCAGTGTATTGACTGTAACCAACTTTTTCTAGATACCATTTACTCAAATGACTTATTATCAGGCCACACTTCCCCTCACTCTAAGATCAAAGGCTTATATGTACATGTTGCCAAAAGATGGTTTTATGATTTAATGCGTCATTACCCACATTGACTACACAGATACTACAATAAAATATGCTACAGGAAAAATAAAGTCTGATCTAGGCTCTACAGAGCTCTCACAGAAAGGTGATTTAGATGTTTGCTCGAAGCTTCACATGTTTATAAATCAACATTAGTTCTTGAGAGAGAGAAATGGCAGTAACAAAGGAAACTACAAAAGTATGAATTAATGGTAAATTCAACAAAAATCTTTAGAAAGCACTGTCTCTCCCATCCATTCCCTCAACATTCCAATTAACTCTTATTTCATTACAGTAATTCCATACTTAACAGAAAATGGTAAGAATTAAATGAACAATTTAGAAATTCCATATACCTGCCTTACAAATCATTCCAGACCAATGCCCACATTTTAGTTGATACATTTCACAGTCTGCTGCTAGTCAGTGTTCTCCTCACACCACTGTTTTTAGGAATGTGACTGGAAATAGCACACCTACTTACCTAAAAAAGAAAATAGTCCCCAAAACATTAGCTACAAAAACCCCTATCAAAGTGTGTAATTTTGTCTGCCTGAGCCTGATCAGTTGAAATTTGAACTGATCTAAAAATGAGGCAATTGTTAGAAACTGAAGAATTTACTATTTTTAAAACGGGGCAAATGATATCATGCTTCCTTGCGGAATAGGAAGGATAATGTACTTTGATAAAACTTGGGTCCAAACATCATCTCCAAGCTAAATCTTGCATATATACTCCCCTTACAAAGGTATCATTAATATATTAAATTAGAACAGCTAAGAAGAAAGAGGCCATTACACTTATCACCTGCTTTCTTTTACTTTCATTTAAGACTGTGCTAGAGATTAGCAGGGACCTGTATGTCCCACATCCATCCTCATTTTCACTGTCCTTATCAACATCCTGGTTCACCTATTACCACCTGAACTTCTGTAAAAAGTGAAGTGCTTTTTGTCTCATCTCAATTCACTACACTCACCACCAAACTGATCTTTACAAGGTTTACATACTCTGATCACACTGTTCCCACAGTCAAATACCTCAAAAAGCTCACACTGTCATCTAGATTAAGGAGACATTTCTCAGCCCGGATTTCAATTCAGTCCTCCACAATCTGACCTAGTATGCCTCCTTTCTAGTCACCTTTCTTTTAATTCTCCAACAGTTAACTTCATTCCAGAACATACCTCAAGCATTCCTGTGTCTGTGCCCTAGTGCAGGCCATTCTCTTCACCTGGATGCACTTCCTCCTCACTTCCTGTCCACAGCTTCAGGACTAGCACCACCACAAAACTCTCTCTGATTTTCTTAATCCACATCACCACAAAACTCTCTCTGATTTTCTTAATCCACATCTCCCCCACTCCAACCTGATACCACTTTCCTTATAGCCCTCTTATGGCACTGCATTCAGACTGGCCTAACAGTCTGTCATTTATTCTCTCCTACTAGGCCGGAAGCTCTACTAAGTTGAATTAAGTATTTCTTGATAACATAAGAACCAAACTCTTTACAAAGGGAAAAAAAAAGACACACTTCACTTGTTTGCAAAGGGGAAAAAACCTTATCATCAACAGGGTAGAACACATTCTACAACAGAAACTTTAAATAATATTTATCAAATCAACAACCTTACCCAAAAAGGTGCCAATACACTGAAATCATCACAAGAGATGTGTAACTGGGAGCAGTGTAAATTACTTTTCAAACAGCAAACCAGTCCCTTACTGCCATCAATACATCAAAAGAATAATAAAGTATACCTGTGTTATAACAATGCCTCATTTATTTATCACTAGGGTATGAAGGAGTCGCCTAAGTGAGTTTTCTGGAGAAACTGTCCTGCCCTTGTAAGGTACCCTGATCTCAGACTTCAGCCTCCAGAACTGTGAGACAGTAAGTTTCTGTGGCTTAAGGCACCCTGTTTGTGCTGCTTCATTCGGGCATCCCCAGCAAAGTAACAGTGTCTACCAGTGTCTTTCTGTTTATCATATCACCAATTTACTGATAAGCACATACCTCTTTAAATAACAAACTTCTTAAAAATGGTAAGTATTGCATTTATTCAACAAACACATTTGGATGACATCCATGTGCTAGGCACCAAGGACAGAGCAGTTAAGACTGACATGGTCCCTGCCCTCACACAGGTTACAATGTAGTCAGAATAACTACAACAAACCAAAATTATGTAATGATAAAATTACAATTGCATGACACACTTCAAATAGAGGATAGTGGGCATATTCAACGAGCCCACTGCCACTGGTTGCAGTTTTTCACAGAACATAATAAATACCACCTACCTCTTATGCATATCCAACAATCATCTTTTTTGTTGTGTTTTTTAAGTTCCTCTTCAGTTACTTCAATTAACCTGCCTTTTAATCCCGTTAGATCCTTTCCACTTTTGGTTAGTCGAATCCAATCCATAAGACTTCTGCCCTGTTTCAGAGGGACCTAGAAAAGGGAAAAGGGAAGAATTCAACGTGCTTCTTTGAGTAATTGCTTTCCATTCCACTTCCTGCTGCATGTCTTAGGCTGCTTCATTACTCTTACTTCTGTTCAAAAAGGTAAAGAAACTTAAATCTAACAATTCTACAAATCTTTTCACAGCTTTAGGAGATTGTAAAAATCATTTCTGCTGTATTAGAATTATAAATAGAATATTATATAAAATATCTGAGCTATGAAGTAGCCCTAGAAATTGTGTCATATAAATGATCATCATATCACAGTATAACAAGAATAGTATTGAACCTGGAGTCAGAAAACAAGTTTTGGTCCTGGCTCTGTCACTAATATGTTATAGTCATTTATTTGGACCCAAATTTCTTTGTCTTGAAAATCAAACAGAGATGTGATACAATATAAACAATTGACTAAAGTTGATTTTCTGGATTGTCAAATATACAAAATATTAGAACTCACTAGGCACCAAACTATTTCTAAGAATTCACTGAGAAACAAAGGTTATCAAATAATGGAAAATGAAAAAACGACACCCCTCTTTGGAAGGGGTTGGTGAACTGCTCCAAGACTGTTTTTGTTCAGCATCGTTTTCACACGTGGTGGTGGCAGCAGAGGTGGTGTTGTTAAAGAGACACAATCATTATGTGGCCCTCAGAGCCTAAAATACTTACTATCTAGCCCTTCGGAGAGAAGTTTACCTATACCTCTGCAAGAAGATTTAATAACAGAATGTTTGGTTTTTTTGTGGCGTTTTTTCCCCCACAATACATTTTCAAGGCTTTCAGATGGGAGGTATTTCAACTAGTGTATTTCAACTAGTTAAGACAACATAATGGAAAGTTTTCAAGGCATCTCTACAGGGTAGGGCTACTGTCTAAAGTTGTATAACTGGTTTGTAACATAGTATGAGGAATGTTTAATGTAAAAGCAGACACATGAAAGTAAATTTATTGCTATAGACTCCATGTTTATGTCCCCCCAGAATCCCACCTTTGATAGATGATTAGCTCATAAAGTGAGAGCCTTCAGGAACTTCAGGAATGAGATTAGTGCTCTTACAAAGGAAGCCTCAGAGCTTCTTCACCCTTTCTGCCTTGTGAGGTCCTGGGGAAAAGAATGCTATGAACCAGGAATCAGACCCTTTCCAGATATCAAACTGGCTGGTACACTGAGCTTGGACTTCCAGCCTCCAGAACTGTGAGAAATAAACTTCTGTTGCTTATAAGCCAGCTAGTTTATGGTACTCTGTTACAGCAGCCTGAACAGATATTTATGTATCTCATTTTCCTAAATCATATCTACTTCAGACATGTATTTACACCCAAAACAACAAGGTAATAGGTCTGTGGTGCGTTTTCAATTTCACTTTCCTTCCTCCCAATCTACATCATCCTATTTTCACCATCACTGAAATTCTTTAGGTCTCTTAGTTCCAATAAATTAAGCAAAGTGTGATAACACGATCTTTCCAATCCCAAACCACAATCACTTCTCTTGTCTGCATAGATTCATAATCCACAGGGTAGTTAAAAGTAGTCTTTTAGAAAATGCAAATCTAATATAGGCCCTCCCTCCTTTAATGGTTCTCCACATTACCCTATATAATTTGGGGTATCTATGTAAATTACCCTATGTAATTTTCCCATTGCTGAATTCCCTAGAGTGGTTTACCAAGCCCTTCATTTGACCAATTTATCTCACTAGCTCCATGTTTTAATTTTTGCTCCTTCCAGGATATGCTTTAGCTGAATGGCAACTGTTTTTTGATTGCTATGAAATAACTGCTGGTCTACCTGGGTCAATTCCCCTGCTTTCCCTTACAGACATTATTTCCTCCAGAAGCTTTCTCTGATCCCAACTCCTTCATGGAAGTAACACACCAGTACAGTACTTATGGCATTTATACCTGACTGTTTACTAGTCTGTTCAGCCTATTAGACTAAAGTACTTAAAAACAGAGACCTCATCTCCAGCATATAGTATGTTCTCAGTAAATATTTATTTGTGTCAGTAGAAATATAATAGCTATCACATATTGAGTGCATACTCTGTCAGGCACTGTGCTAAGGGTTTTGCACAACAATCCATGAGATCTGAAAACAAATATTAGGCAAGTAAAATTTAGTAAGTGCTTATCATATATCAAAACTGTGCTAAAAGAAACATTATCTAATTTAATACTATGAACAACCCTATAATACAGGTACTGTTATTCCCATTTATCCCTGAAGAAACTGAGACTCAAAGAGATTAAGCAGTAGAGTTAGGAAAAGAATCTGGGTCTTTGTCATTCAAAAATCTATGCTTTTAACAATTATGATATGCAACCTCTACAACTAGTTTTTATTTTCTCAGCTTCTACCCACTGTATACAATCGTGACTCAGCTTCTACCATGTTCAAGATCAGCTTGTTTCCCAAAGGAAAAAAAAAGTCTGAATTTCCCTTTAAATTGTACGATAATCTTATTTTGTTTTCTTTTTGGACTCAACTCATGTTTGCCATCACCACCTGTGGAAATTTGTCTTTGCCTCGAAGCTCTCTCCTTTAAAAGGATGTGGAGAACGTGATTAGTAGTTTTAATGGAGAAAAGCAGCAAGTCTTATATTCTACTTCTGCAATTCTTCCTTTGGAAAGCCTGTATTATTCAGCCAACCATTAAACTTAAGGAAAGAAACGGGTCAAACATTGAAGAGGAGGGAACAGATAGTCAAATGGATACCTGGATGCTATTTGAAGTAGTAAGAGAAATGCCACAGCCAGAGTCACTATTACACCAAGCCTATAGGGTCCAACATTTCTTAACCAGCTTCCTTTTCAATGAAATGCAGATGACAAAAGCACCCACTTCATGGGATCATTGTAAAGATTAAATTAGTTAATACATACATGTTAAGCACTCAGAACACTTAGAACATACATGGCCATCCGTAAGTACTGAATTAATCTCAGCTATATTATTATTATAGTTGGAGCTACAGAATTCTGAAAAGCTAGGAAAAAGCTACAGATCCCTGTCCCATAATTCTGATCTAGAGTCAAACTCCAGGTCTAAGTGGAGAAAAAAAGAAAAAGTGTGTGAAGGTCCTAAATGATGCTAGGAGCCAAGAGTCCAGAAATTAAAAGGTAAAAGGAGTGACCCAAGTAAACAAGTTTCAAAAACAAAACATGAAGATGTGGTTACACAAGGAATTAACGAGAAACAGGAACAAGCAACATTCATGTTGCAATGAACACAGGAGACAATATCATTAAGTTTATAAAATACAAAATACATTTTGCATTACACCTGTTGCTAACAGTAACTATGTCTAATAAAAACTTAAAGGAGTATTATAAAAGCTTCAGTCAGCAACTGATATTAGTAGAAAACGCAGTGATAGAACAATCAGGTACCAGAGGCAGAAAGAAAGGAATCATGACTTGAAGGACTGTGTGTAAACCTAACCGGAGGATGCAGACATTTGTTCTTGATTCCAATCTACCCTAGTTCCCGAATCCCCACAATGTCCAACCTTTTCCTTCTGCTAGGAGGAACCTCTCTGAAAAGTGAAGAACAAAAAACCCGGAGACGAGGACAGGTTGAGGAAAGGAAGCTGTTACTGAGCGTTCCTATGATACGGCAAGTACAGTGTCTGGCCCTGCCACATACAACTCAATTTAATTCGCGGGAAAAGACTTGGAAGAAGGGAACTGACTTAACAGATAAAGGGATGGAAAATAGACGAGGCAGGTGAGAGGGAGGGAGGTCAGGGGCGCTCGAGGCCAGCAGACGCAGAGGATCGGAGAGACACGGCCAGCAAGGGCAGGAAAGAACGACGGCTCGAGAGCGCGCCGAAGGAGCGACGCGAGCGTGGGAACACAGAGAACCAGCGGGAGGCGGGCGCGGGGCGAGACCAACCGTGTCACCCCGCTTACCTTGCTGCGCCCCCCGGAGGCGACGCGCTGCTGCGACCTGGGGGCAGGGAAAGCCTGGGAAGGGACGTTCAGCATCCTGGACCCCTGGTCTGGGCCCTGCCCGGGATGCACCGCGGGAAAAGGCCGCTCGACTCAAGCCCCCTCGGGTAGCTTCCCCGGCTCCGGCTGCGACCGGGCAGAGGCCAAGCCCCCTACCCACTTCCGGGGTCGTCCAGGGTGAGGCGCGCCGTGACGCAACACGTCGGGGCTGCGGAGGGCGGAACCAACGAGTCCGGCGGAGCGTCAGCCCGGGAGGAACCTGGGAAAAGTACGCATGCTCCGTTAAGTCCAGCTCTCGCATTTCAGCACTGCAGAGAGGTGACAGCTATTTCGAAGCAAAGAGTGAAGCTGTTCCTTAGCCTTGGTGCTGACAGAATCTAAGAATTCCTAGACTCCAGTTAGCCTAGAACACAAGTGTCTGTTTAGCGCTACAATCACACTATTTGAAATACGGAATAAAAATAACACTATCAAAACTTTTAGATTTCTCCTCTAAGGCAGCAGACTAAGGGCAGAGAAACTTTTAAGAGTTAAGATGTCAAAATACAGCCACTCAAGCGAGGTGAAGAAAAAAACTTCACTCTTAAGAACCCTGGCTAATGACTAACGAATGAGTCAAAAACATTAGTGAACTCTCCTTCTGCTCCATTCACCGACTCAGAAGTTCTTCCTCATCTAACTTCCTGTCTTCCCATAAAGATACAGAGAATTGTGTACTGATGCAGCCCACCCGCAAATGTAGTGGAGAGCTACATTTAATTAAGAGTCAGATAGGTTTAGTTTGGGTGCCACCCTGCGCATAAGAAATGAGCAGCCTTATGCAAGTATTTTAGTATCCCGAAGCCTCATTTTCCTCATCTGAATAATGGGTGTTAGTAAGGATCAAATGAAATGTCATATGTTAACTACTTAATACAGTGTCTGGCTAATCGTAGGCACTCGATAAATGGTGGTTCTTCACACTATTCTAGCATATTAATTAAAGAGGCACAAATACTGTGCAGATAAAACACCAGTTCCTAATGCTCAAGGTCCAGATTGGTGAACTAGCGAGTTTTTTGAATATCCCTTGGGGAACACACACACACATCCTGAGAGTAAAAACCAGTCAAAGGAGAAAGTTTTCAGAAGAAGTATAGTTCTAAATAACTTTTCCCATTCTCCTTCCATTACTAATTTTTCCTGACTCTGAATCATGGTTTGAACTTGCTCTATTTCAACTGCTTGTACTTAAGTGCCTGTAAATCCTATTTGTAGTAACTCTTCAATTAGAAGGAAAAGTATGTGAATAAATGTAGCCCTTCAAGTAAGAGGTATTCCTAACACGTAACCATCTCTGAACTTCATCTCTGCCCATTATAATTCTGGAATATTGGAAGCACATTTTCTTTTGCAATTGAAATGCTTATTGTGAAAGGATTGTATCTGAGCTAAAAGAACTACATGACCGTATGTCTACTCTCTTACCTTTACCTTGCAAGGTGTCCCTGTTTTCTCTCATTAAAAGATGATGTAATCTTCTGTATGTTTAACCTTAAAAAAAGCTAATCACTGAGAATTTCTTATTCCACTTCCCATGAGAAAATCTTGATAATATCAGGAGCAGGAAACTAGAACAAAGGAAGGTCATGTTGGAGAATGTTTCATACCTGCCAGATGTCTCCCCCTTGGACAGACATGGAAAAACACTATCAAATTCTGGCTTTTGGGCTCCCTTTTTTTAGACTCCATGTAAGTCATGTCCATTTAAAAGTATGTTTTTATTGTGGGGATCACTCAATGAAGCATCATAATTATTGAATACCTATACTGTTTTACTACTGGATTTAAGGACAGCAGAGGAGAGTTAAATTGAGAATTACTTGACTCGTCATGCATTAAAATCCTTAAAATTTAATAGTCCTTACATTGATTCTCATTCTCAATTATAAACAATAATTTAAAGTGTGTTTTACCATCTGCTAAGAAATACATAATAATAATGTGTGATTGGTAACAGACGGTGACTTTCTTCATTATCTAGTAAGATATTTATCTGTAAGTATGCCATCCAATGGAGACCAGTAGGAAATATCAGTTGTTAGAAGATTCAGTCTTGGACTTTAAATATCGTCATTCTTTGCAAAGTTATAACTAAAGATAAATTTGTAATTTGATGAAGAGATCAAAATTATCTTTTTAAATCCCCAAATGTTTACAATACAATCAAGACATTTATAAATGCACCTATTTTTAATTTTTAAACCTGGATTATGGTATAGGGATTAAAAAAGGCCAAACTACCATAATAATTACAAAATACTTCATTTTATTAATAACTTATATACAAATAAATTAGTTTAAAAGGATTATGATACATTTGTACACTAAATTTAGATCCTACAAGCTTTGAATGTTATCAAAAGGAACTAATCAGATTAATTTTCACACATCAGCTCCTCAATCTCATCTTCACTATCAGAATCTTCATAAAATGAAATTGTGGCTTGAATTGGAAAATTTTTCAGCAGAGCTTCTGCTTCTTGATATAAGTAATCATAACACTTTGATTTTGGCCAAAATAGTCTGAAAGAAGCAGAAAACAATACACTTTATTTATTGCACTTTCAGAATCTTTATACTTGTGAAATATTCAAATTTTAAGAACTCCATATGTCTAACAATTGACTTATGCATTTTGATAGAGATCTAAAATCACTAGATCACTGCTTTCATTGCGTCTACTTGCCAAAGTACATAACTGGTTAGTTATTTTAAATCTTTATCCAAGTTGTAAATTGGATCAAATAAATTCACACTAAACCCTTTGTGAGCATAACATCAGTATTTAGCTTACTGCAGGCATTATGGATATGTTTATTCTTACAAAATACACAAGAAGGTTTGTCTTCTAATTCCCAAGTCGCACTGGAAAAAAAATGAATCCTATCACTACATTAAAATTCTGGTGATAGATAACTTTATAAAGACAAAAAAATATGTATCTTATACAAAGGCAGAAATCACCTAGTATTTTGTGTACAATTCACAAATTTAACTCTCAGTTACAGATACAGCCAATGTAAGTTCAGAAAAGTACAAGAAAAAGTTTTTACAAGTTTGTTTATGCACTCAAAACTTGAGGTATAGAAGAGCAACCTGTGTCCCCAGCCTTGATCTCATCTCCCTCCTCTTTCCTTGAACAACTACATTTGGGAACACCATATTAAGATATTTAGAATAATATGGTTTTATACAAATAATTTGCATGTTAAACATGATTACATCAGAATTTCAAATTTCTGACAAATACTAATCTTGTAATCTGGTCTTCTACTATTTTTCATCCAAGGAGGAGAAAAGAAGAAGAATATGGCTGAATCCCCAACTGCAGTGCAGTCATTCTAGTGCAGAGCAAATAGCCCGATACCCATATGACAGAGTGGTTCCGACAAAGAGAAAGCTCCTAAATTACACGTTATGTTCAGTATATTCCATTTTAAAAGGCAGAAAAGTAAGTAATGTAGTGCATAAATGTTTCCAGCCAGATGGTAAAAAAAAAAGGTTTATAATTTTGGTGCTTAAATGACTATCAATAATTCAGTAATTCAATTAATATTTTAGTGATCTCTTTTGCCAGACAGAATTCATAATTCAAAAATGAGTAAGTCACGGTCCCTACCTTCAAGGAGTTGACAGTTGATGAAAAAGAGCAACACCAGAAACACATGATACTACTCAAAACAGAAACTGATAAAAATAATAAATTTATTTTTATATGTATATATTTAATAAAAATTTAATAAAATAAGTATAAATAAACTGCTACAGTAGTCCAAGAAAGAAAGGAATTGCTTATATAGGAAGCAATTGGTTTTCTGATGTGTAACTCCCTCCAACTGCCAAACCCAAAGAATGTTGTTCAATTGTTATCACACTTCCCAGAATCTTTTACTGATCATTTTTCTTCCAGGGACTTCATACTTTCTTGAATTCTCCCTTGTTCTGAGTGATTCTCAGTCTGCTCTGTGGAGCTTTCTCTCTGTAGAAGCTAGATGGTGGTCTTCCACCCTGTTTTACCAAGAGTGGGTGTCTCTCTTCTCCCACACCCCTAGACCTGACCAGCTGCCATGATTCCCCAGCCTTTTGTTTACCAAAGGCTCTCAAGTCTGTCTGACTCTGGACGCCTAACCTGTATATGCAGCTCTCTACTGAACATGTCTATTTGGATGAGCCATAGGTACATTAAATATGATAAAAGGAACATTGGACTCATTATCGTGTTCCCCCAAATTGTTGTAAGCCCAAATTTCCGCTCTATTATAACAACACTTACCTTATCACCAGCCACAACTGTGGGAGCCATTCTCTTTACCTCTGTACCTAGCATATCCAATACATTATAATCTTAATCTATTTTGCCACCTAAGCTTCCCCCAAATTCACCCAGTCCCTTCTCCACTTCCATTGCCTCAGAATGATTCATTATTATTTCTTGCCTAAATTGCAGTAACTTTCTAATTTCACTTTCAGTGCTCTAGCTAAGCCTATATACCTTTTCCTTCCTTAGTGATTTTTCTAAAATATAAATCAGACCACACTTTTCTTCTGGTTAACATCCTTGGAGTAAACCTCAATATTATCTACAGAATAAAGTCCATGGGCTCGCAATGCCACATATGGGGTCAGGACAAAACTCTATACCAAGGTGTACTAGATCTAGCCTCTGCCTTCCCTGCTGGAATGACCAGTTTCCCACATCCAAATCCAGCTCCCTGATGCTCCTAGAAGGAGCCATGCTGCCCTGTGACTCTTGTTTTCCCTGTGCTCCCACCTTTGTCACCTACCATCCACCTAGCTAACTTCAAGGCTGCACCAGGTAACCACAGTCTGGTGATTAAAGCCTGGTGGATACACCCTTCCCTGACCCTTGCCCACTCCTTCTGGCAGAGTAAAGGCACTTCATGCCCCGTACATACTTATTAAACTGAACAAACTAAACTATTACAACATTTACCAAGAGGCTGTGATTATTACTTTCCTGTGTCCTTCACTACTGCTAGCATATGATAGGAAATTAGCATGTATCAACTACTATGGTAAGAAATTAATCAATATATATTAACTTTGTGTTATTTATAAAAACACACATTTTACAAATATCTTACAACTCTTCATTTAACAGCTCTAAAGCAAGCACACTGCAGAATTAACCTTTCACTGAATAAAGGTACAAAGAATCTTACTTACAGAAAGGCTGACTTCCTGGGGCTAGGAACAGTAAACTAGATGCTCATTGTTATGACGAGTAACTTTTGATCATTTCTATGATCCTTAGTAATCTTTCGGGTTTCATTAGGTTTCCATATTCTCTTACATACCAAGCTCGATTTGCTGTAAAACTCCAACTGTGAACACCATTCTTCCTTCTGATTTGCAAGAGAATATCTGCACACTCTGCCTTGTGTGAAGTCAATTGGGTCAACACTAAAAAAAACCCGTTTTTCAGGCACTAAATGTCATTGTTCTATTTTTGCTACACAATACACTTTCCTTCTTTGTATTAAGTGTTTACTAAGTCTGCACTGATTAACAGTTCTCAGTGACAGCGTGAACTGCATTTTTCAATTGGATGAGCAAAGGACCTCTGTAACTGGGAAGATAAAGTAACCTTGATGATAGATTTTCCGAGAAAAACTGCAGGACCGCTCCCGGCTCTTCCCTGCAGCTGCGGGAGACGGAGACCTTCAGGGAGGCCGGTCACTCACCTGACTGGGTGTCTGTACTGGGAAAGCTTTCCTGAGGCTACGATCGTTCCGGGGCCATCCAGCATCTGGGGACGAAAGGAGATGCATCGCAGTTTCACTCACCCTTTGAGACCTGCACAGGCGCGCGACCCAGCGTTCCTCGAGCCTGCAGGGAGTGTGACCTCAGGGGTCTCAGCGGCCTCGCTCCGGCCCAACCCGTGTGTCCCGATCGCTCTGGAGGACACCCTCGCTGCATGGGCAGCCCGAGGGCCTCCGGTAGGGCCATCTTAGGCGCGTGTCCCCCCACCCCCGGGCCAGCCTACTGGCCCTGGTCGGCCATCTGCGGCCCTGGGAGGCGCAGCCCCCCGAGGCTCACTCACCGCCTCCGCGTCGGGGCTCGGCGCCGCCGCCGCCTCCTCCCCGCCTCGGGCGTCTGCCCACGGCCTCCAGAAGCCTGGCAGTCTGCGGGGGGAGCACAGAGCGCGCGCATGAGACGTGAGCGCGGAGCCCGGAGGACGACAGCAACCGCGCGGGGACCCTGCCGGGGCGCGCGGTGCGGGGCCGCTGGGAGGAGCGGGGGCGGCGCGCGGCGGGAGGGCCCAGGATGCGGAGGCGCCGTACCCGGAGTCCGCGCCTCGGCGCCGCGGCTGGCGGTCAGGGGCCGCGGACTGCGGGCGGAGGCCGAGCGCGCCCCTCGCGGCCCGGGGTTCTGCGCGCTCCGGGGTTTGCATGTCGCGGCGGGGCTCGGCGGAAGGCCGCCGGCTGGCGGGTGGGCCTGGCCTCTTCCAGCCTCCGGACGCGCCACCCAAGCTTATATAGGCCCCTCGGGCTGCCGCGTATTTAGAGGTTTGCCCCCTCTGCGCCTCCCTCCCTCCTGCGGCCGCGTAGACCGAAAGGCTGAGCGCGAAGACCCGACGGGCTGAACCCCGGGCGTGAACGCGTGTAACTCCCAAATGGCCCGGGCAGGGGTTTGTCAAGCGAGCGTTAATCGCTCTTCGACACAAGGCCGCGGGGAAAAACAACATTCGCCCGAGCAGCCAATTTCCAAGTGAAGAGGCTAGGGGGGTGTAAAATTAAACGATTGTACACTTTTTGTGTATTTCTACAAAAGGGCCAAGTGGCTGGTAATTGCTGCAGTCGCCCGGGTCTGGGGGCTTTTTGGCCTTTGTAAATGCAGCTAGTTCTGCATCTCTACTTTAAAAGCTGGGATGAGAACTAAATTAAAAGTAATAGTCCTAATTCCTCTTCTGGCAGAATAAAAGATGGGGGAAGGAATGGACTCCTTACAAAAGGAATATCAGGCCTTTTTTTTTAAAGCATTGGCAAGAGTAGGTTCATACATTTGCCTGTTATTATTTGAACATAATAAAAAATTAAAAAGTGGTGAATTATAAAAGACTGAAAGTTCCAGCCAAAAGGGCCAGAGATTGGAGCCATGGGATTTGGGCATACAGCTCTATATTATTTTCTCATGTCTTTGTGATTTTCTCCAACATCTTATCAGTGTTTTCTGAAGATAAGTCTTGAGTTTCATCTATACACTTCTGTCACTACTTGACATTTTTTCACTTAGTGATAACTGGAAAATTCTTCTGTGGAGTCGGGGTGTGTGTAGAATAATAATGAAATCTTGACCATATGGTAAGAGGGACAAGTTAGTCGACTTCTCTGCACCCCTGTTTCTCTTAAAGTTACCCTTCACTTACTACAGTGGTCCATTAAACTTGACAAAAAGGGTTTTCCTTCAAAGGAAATATAACATATGTGTCTTTTTTTCCCAAAATGGTTTAAATAATAGAGTTGAACTTCCTCTTAAAAGTTGGAGATGAAAACTTTGTGAGCTGTAGTCTCTCTGCTATTTGTTGAATTACTGCGTAGGGAAATTATCCTTCTAATTAATACCTAAGGGTCTGTAATGATCTTCCCAGCAGGAAGGTGAGATATGGTTTGCTTCACATAATGAAATCAGTGAGGAGAGGTACCTAATGGATGTCTCAGTGCCCTACAATTTTGTTAGACTAAATAAAACTTATAGAGTGCTTGCTACAGTGACTGACACATAATAAGCTCTCAGCAAATTAAAAATTTTTTAAAAAGTGTTTAAGCCCCTAACAGATATTTAGCTATCTAATGAAATGACTTATCATTTCAGTTCCATAAGCCATCTTTTAAGGTGTCTCCAATATCTATGTAGTGTGCTTTCCAGAAATAATGGTGAAAAAGATACCCTCCATCCTCAAGAGGAGTACACTCATGTGACCTATGGCTGTTACAATCACCACATAAGCAAAGATTTTTAAGAAGCATCATATTCAATAACAAAAGCACATTTTAAGCAGAGAAGTAGTACTAGGGAGGACAACCAGGAAAGCCTCCTTACAGTAAAAGAAACCTAAATTGTAATTTCTAGACATATCAGTCAAGAAATAATAAGTCTGTGTGTGGTGGTGCAGGAGTCAGAGAAGGAACAATGTTCACTGAGGTTAGATTTTCCTGGAGCAGAGATGTGGCTAAGAAGATAGAAAGGGCTTGGACTGTTAAGAGCCTAATACCATCATAAGGCATTTTGGCTTTATTCTGCAAGCAGTGTGAAAGATTTCAAGCAGGGAAGTGGAATGGTCAAAGTTTCATTTTATAAAAACTTACTCTGGCAGCCATATGGAAAGCTGATACCAAAAACAAGGAGATCATTTACAAAGTCACTGTAACAGTTCAGACTAGAGGTAATGAGAAGACATGGTCTTCATTTACGGATGTGAGCTGACAGAGCATTTTTCCTCTGGAACATTGGAGGGAATAAAATTAATATGTTTTAAAAGACTTATTAACATGTAGGTGGAGACAACCAGAAATATGAGGTCTGGAGTTCAGTAGAGAGTTTAGGGCTAAAGATTTTTTAAATTAAGGTATCATTGATATACAATCTTATGAAGGTTTCACATGAGAAACATTGTGGTTACTACATTCACCCATATTATCAAGTCCCCCTGACACCCCAGTGCAGTCACTGTCCATCAATGTAGTAAGATGCCAGAGTCACTACTTGTCTTCTCTGTGCAACACTGTCTTCCCCATGAGCCCCCCACACAATGTCCAATCATAATACCCTTCAATCCCCTTCTCCCTCCCTCCCCACCCCTCCCCTTTGGTAACCACTAGTCCCTTCTTGGAGTCTGAGTCTGCTGCTGTTTTGTTCCTTCAGTTTTGGTTCATTGTTATATTCCACAAATGAGGGAAATCATTTGGTACTTGTCTTTCCCCGCATGGCTTACTTCACTGAGCATAATATCCTCCAGCTCCATCCATGTTGTTGCAAATGGTAGGGTTTGTTTTCTTCTTATGGCTGAATAGTATTTCATTGTGTATATGTACTACCTCTTCTTTATCCATTCATCTACTGATGGACACTTAGGTTGATTCCATATATTGGCTATTGTAGATAGTGCTACAATTAAATTAGGGGTGCATATGAATTTTTGAATCTGAGATGTTGTTTCCCTTGGGCAAATTCCTAGGAGAGGAATTCCTGGGTCAAATGGTATTTCTATTTTTAGTTTTTTGAGGAACCTCCTTACTGCTTTCCACAATGGTTGAACTAGTGTAGGAGGGTTCCCCTTTCTCTGCATCCTTGCCAGCATTTGTTGTTCCTTGTCTTTTCAGTGTTGACCATCCTAACTGGTGTGAGGTGATACTTCACTGTGGTTTTATTTGCATTTCCCTGATAATTAGTAATTATTAGGGGCATCTTTTTATGTGCCTATTGGCCGTCTCGATTTCTTCTCTGGACAATTGTTTGTTCATATCCTCCACCCATTTTTTAGTCAGGCTATTTGCTTTTTGGGTGTTGAGATGTGTGAGTTCTTTATATATTTTGGATGTTAAATATGTCATTTACGAATATATTCTCCCATACTATAGGATGCCTTTTTGTTCTACTGATGGTGTCCTTTGCTTTTTAGTTTGATGTAGTCCCATGTATTCATTTTTGCTTTTGTTTCCCTTGCCAAAGGAAATGTGTTCAGGAAAAAGTTCCTCATGTTTATATTCAAGAGAGTTTTGCCAATGTTTTCTTCTAAGACTTTTATGGTTTCATGACTTACATTCAGGTCTTTGATCAATTTTGAGTTTACTTTTGTGTATGAAGTTAGACAATAATCCAGTTTCATTCTCTTACATGTAGCTTTCCAGTTTTGCCAACAATAGATATTGAAGAGGCTGTCATTTCCCCATTGTATATCCGTGGCTCCTTTACTGTATATTAATTGACCATGTATGCTTGGTTTTGTATCAAGTCTCTCTGTTCTGTTCCATTGATCTATGGGTCTGTTCTTGTACCAGTACCAAATTGTCTTGATTACTGTAGCTTTGTAGTAGAGCTTGAAGTTGGGGAGCATAATCCCCCCAGCTTTATTCTTCCTTCTCAGGATTGCTTTGGCCTAATGGGGTCTTTGTGGTTCCATATGAATTTTAGAACTATTTCTTCTAGTTCGTAGGGATTTCGTTAAATCTATAGATTGATTTAGGCAGGATGGCCATTTTGACAATATAAATTCTTCCTATCCATGAGCATGGGATGTATTTCCATTTGTTAGTGTCCTCTTTAATTTCTCTCATGAGTTTTCAGAATATAGGTCTTTCACCTCCTTGGTTAGGTTTATTCCTGGTATTTTATTCTTTTTGATGCAATTGTGAGTGGAATTGTCCTGATTTCTCGTTCTGCTAGTTCATTGTCAGTATACAGGAATGCAAAAGATTTCTGTGAATTGATTTTGTATCCTGGAACTTTGCTGAATTCAAATATTAATTCCAGTAGTTTTGGGGTGGATTCTTTAGGGTTTTTTATGGACAATATCATGTCATCTGCAAACAAGGACAGTTTGACTTCTTTCTTACCAATCTGGTGCCTTTTATTTCTTTGTGTTGTCTGATTGCTGTGGCTATGACCTCCAGTACTATGTTGAATAAAAGTGGGGAGAGTAGGCGTCCTTGTCTTGTTCCTGATCTTAGGTGAAAAGCTTTCAGCTTCTCGCTTTAAGTATGATGTTAGCTGTGGGTTTCTCATATATGGCCTTTATTATATTGAGGTACTTGCCCTCTATACCCATTTTGTTGGGATTTTTTATCATGAATGGATGTTGAATTTTGTCAAATGCTTTTTCAGCAACTATGGAGATGATCATGTGATTTTTGTCCTTTTTTGTTGTTGTTGATATGGTATATGATGTTGATTTGTTTTTGAATACTTTACCCTCCTTGCATCCCTGGAATAAATAGAACTTGATCATGATGGATGATCTTTTTGATGCTGCTGCTGAATTCAGTTTGCTAATATTTTGTTGAGTATTTTTGCATCTATTTTCATCAGGAATATTGGTCTGTAATTTTCTTTTTCTGTGGTATCTTTGCCTGGTTTTGGTATTGGAGTGATGCTGGCCTCATAGAATGAGTATTCCCTCCTCTTCTACTTTTTGGAAAACTTTGTCTTCTCTAAATGTTTGATAAAATTCAGGTGAAGCCATCTGGTCCAGGGTTTTCATTCTTAGGTAATTTTTTGATTACCAGTTTAATTTCATTGCTGGTAATTGTTCAGATTTTCTGTTTCTTCCTGGGTCAGCCTTGGAAGGTTGTATTTTTTCTAGAAAGTTGTCCATTTTTTCTAGGTTATACAGTTTGTTCGCATGTAATTTTTCATAGTATTCTCTCATAATTCTTTGTATTTCTGTGGTATCCTTAGTGATTTTTCCTTTCTCATTGCTGATTCTGTTTATGTGTGTGTAGACTCTCTTTTTTTCTTGATACATCTGGCTAGGGGTTTTTCTATTTTGTTTATTTTCTCAAAGAACCAGCTCCTGCTTTCATTGATTCTTTCTATTGTTTTATTCTTCTCGATTTTATTTATTTTTGCTCTGATTTTTTATATCTCTCCTTCTACTGACTTTGGGCCTCATTTGTTCTTCTTTTTATAGTTTCATTAACTGTGAATTTAGACTGTTTATGTGGGATTGTTCTTCTTTCCTGAGGTAAG